AATATTCAGTCAATCAACGCCTGGAAAAAAGAGTCCTCACCAAAATTTGATGTCAACCTATCGATAGAACAGTAAAACCTAACAATAGAATCTCTTTTTGATAAAATTGCTGAAAGTATTGTGGCTTTTGCTACCGGTAGGACTTCTCTGACAAAAGTATTGTAACATTTCCTACTGGTAGAATTTATATTATTCTTCCAAAATTGATCTCCAAGGACTCGACTTCATCCTTNAGTAAAACCTAACAATAGAATCTCTTTTTGATAAAATTGCTGAAAGTATTGTGGCTTTTGCTATCGGTAGGACTTCTCTGACAAAAGTATTGTAACATTTCCTACCGGTAGAATTTATATTATTCTTCCAAAATTGATCTCCAAGGACTCGACTTCATCCTTTCCCGAGCAACTTAATTCCTACTATTTTCTTGCCATTAAATCAATGTTTATTCTTCACATTTACACCTAAAATACCTACAACATAGAAATTGAAGCTTAGCAAACCTAAAGTGATTATGTTAAGTTATAAAATAATGCAATGCTGAAGCCTCAACAACAGGGTTTCTTTTAATCATTAATTTTCACTATACAAATAATGTTATCTCCCAATTCACCAAGTTTGTTGGTTCAAATATGAATCTCACTCTTTGATAAATTAAAGTAATAATCATTATATACATGTGTCCATTAAATATATTAAGATTAAGGTCTTAAGCAATCATAATAACCATGATGCATTTATTTTCTTATTTAGTCAGTAAAAAAATAATAACATCAATAACGATCACGTTTAATATACAAAGTGTACTAGTACAACAATCTGAGACATTATATAGTCTCTTATAACCAAGACAAATTATGCCAAAAAATTGTATTATAATTCTACTGATTGTGTATCCAATTCTATTTAAGATTGTAAACCTTTACTCATATCATACATGGATTCGATAATCTAATCTTCTTTGTAAAAGCTGAACTCTACATACTAGATTATCTATAATATAAAATAAAAATACACACATACATAGCATATTTATAATAATAAGATAGAGATGTTTTTGAATCTCCAAGTTGGAAAAGAACAAGAACAACTTAGAGTATTCCACGTGGTTCAAAGTCAATCTAATGGTGGTGAAGATATCTTATTTCTCCGTTTTTCCTCCCAAAAAGAGTCTCAATCACCACCTCTTATTTTTTAATTTTTTTGAACGGTTCCATTACTTATTCTCTCTCTCCTCTCTCATTCTCATGTCTCTCACTGTCACACGCTGGAGGTAAGACATCCACCAACGCCTCTTCACTCTCCGTCTATCTGTCAACCCCCTTCAACTTTCTCATCCCAATGCCACAACAAGCGCCACCCTGAGCACCAGCACATCCATCAAGTATTTCTTTCCCTCCCATCTCTATGCTACATGCACACACAAACCCTGAATCCCACCAAACCCAAGCCTTCCCCTTTCTTCGGTTTCCTTAGTGAACGTCCTATCCCCTAACCCTCTATTTTCCCCCACCTTCCTCTTCGCTCCTCCTCTTTCCATCACTCTCTCTGTCTCTCTCTCTCTCTCCAGTCACACTCTTTGCCATACCTCTCTTCCTTCACCTCACGCACACAAACACAAACACAAAACCCAACAACACATGCACACACATGTTACAGATCACGCTCGCACAACCACCCACACATCCACCCAGGGGCGGAGCCAGAAATTTTGCTCAGGGTGGGCACTTTAATTATGCACTCTAATTTTTTTCCTTCTAACCAATCACATTATATAACATATTTATATTTATTATATTATTTTTGATATATGAAGTCCATTTAACATAAAAAATTTCAAAAAAAAAATGTATATTGCCAGGGGTGGAGTCATAAATATTTATGATAGAGGCAAAATATAACTGGTATAAAAAAAATATTATGTCGAAATTAATACAAAAAAATTCAGTTCAAGAATAAAAAAAATGTAAGAATCAACACTAAATTATTGTGAAATTGTAAATTTAATTTTTATTTAGCCGAAACAAAATCTTAACAAAAAGACAAAAAATAATTTTTTTAGTACATTTTAACATAATTATATATTTCAATAAAATATAAAATTTTTTGTATATGAATTAAATGTAAATTAATTTTCGTATTTTATTAGGTTATAGACTACTATTACTAAAAAAAAGGTAAATGAAAATTAAAAATTATTCTTAAAAAATAACGAACATTGTGTTAGATAAAGAGAAATATTGTATTTTTGTCAATATACAAATAAAATATTGACTCAATCCAAAACTAACATTTATTTTAGAGGGTTAGTGGTCAACTAATTTATTAAAAAATAAAGACNTGATCGTATGGTCATAATTCATTTCATCTAATGACCACCAATCTTTCTCCATTTCCCCCCAAACTCATCCCCTCTCACTCAAATTATTTTTCAAAATCAGACCTCTTGGTCACCTCAGTGTCAGACATGTCGCCTCCCTTCCATCTCTCTCTCTTTTTTTTTTTGAAATTAGACTTCTCTCAAGCCATTCCACCATCAATACCACCAGCACCAGCACCACCAGCACCGCAACTACTGCTAACCTAGGTATCCCTCATCTTTCTCTCTATCTCTCACACACACACACGTGCTAACCCCCCATCTACCCCCACCACCAGCACCGCAACTACTGCTAACCTAGGTATCCCTCATCTCTCTCTCTCTATCTCTCACACACACACATGCTAACCCCCCATCTACCCCCACCTCTTCTCTACCTTTTCTACGCAACACCACCCCCATCCTACCCCCCTTCCCTCACCCTCTCTGTCAATGTCACTGTTGCCAAGCTCAAAGATGTCCACCCAACACCTCCACCACCAACCATAGACACCACATGTTTGACAAAAGTTCTCAGAGAGTTTTTGCTCAATTTCTTTGTTTTTTTTTCTCTCATTTGTTTGTTCATTTTTCTAAAATCAATCTTTCTGTAGCTTACCAACGAGGATTTGACAATCTTTCCGAAGAAACCTCCTTCCTGAAATCAATCTTTCTGTAGGCGCTCCCTTGACATTGAGCGGCCCACTTACACCAATCTTAACCGCCTTATCTCCCAGGTGAATGAGTACTACTTAATATATTTCAGGGTGTTTCCTTAAAAATTAACATTGACACTTGTAACTGATGAATTTGTTTATGCCATCTTTGTCGTAGGTGATTTATTCACTTACTGCTTCTTTGAGGTTTGATGGAGCCTTGAATGTCAATGTGACTGAATTTCAGACCAACCTTGTGTCCTACCTCAGGATCCATTTTATGCTTTCCTCATATGCTCCTGAAATCAATATAGATGGTGTAAGTGGTTTCGTTTACATCTACAAGCTTGTCGATGCGTGTTTGTTCCCGTGTCAAGATGAGCCAGGGAAAACTCTGCATTTTAATGGTTTTTAGCATGGTAATTTTGTTGAAATTACCATGCTAAATGTCTTAAGTATGTTGGTTAGTCCATCTAATATGGCTACACATTTGATAGTGTGTTCTGATTTTTAACCTTTAAACCATGTCCACTTGTATTTTGGTGTTTTTGTTTCGTGAATCAGGATATTTCAAGTTGGTCAACCTTTTTTCAATACATCATTCACATTGTTTTAGGTTGTGGCTAAACCAATTCTCAGTTGTCAGTACTTGATTTTTTAGTGTTAGTTACCATATTGACTGTGAAATAATTGAGTTATTTTGTTGATATTGAATCTTTTTGTAATGTTGAATCTTGATTTTTGTGAACCAATTCTCCGTAGTTAGTACTTGATTTTTTAGTGTTAGATACCATGTTGAGTGAAAGTTATGCACTAAAAAGTTAAGTTTGATTATATAGTTCTTAAGCTTTACTGTTTCTAAGGAGCATTTTTAATAATTTTGGTTTCTTAATTGTCCTATTATGTGGAAATAGTTTGCAGAAACTTTTTATTACCATAACTCATGTGGTTTTACAGAGCAAGTTAGATTATTTGGGTAGATTGCTTTTAATCGATCAAGATTTTGGTCATGATGTTTCTCTTTGATCAACAATTGAATGCAATGATTGATAGTATATGCACCAAGTTTATCGAGTTTTGTCCAATTTTGTTCATTAATTTTCTGTTTGGCATTTGACAAGTTTAATGTGTTGTTTCATTGGTTTCATTATTACTGTGGGAATCTTCTTGTTCTACTCCTCAGTGACATATTTCTTAGTTAACTGAAATTACAAAATAATGGTACTTGCGATTGCTACTTGATTAAGAATTTCCCTTCCGCACCTTATTTCTGTCATATTCTTTTTTCCATTGCATCTTGCTCGGGTGTATTTTAATTTTACTAGACATTGTCTTGCAGGTATTTTTTCCTCCTCATTAGCTATGCTGGATCTTAAGGTTGGGGATTTGTCTTGCCTCCACAAAGATGTATGAGCTGCATGTATTTTTAGAGTTTTCATTGGGGTTGAAATTTGGTTTCCATTTACCCAACTAGGGTCATTTGAGTTTTCATTTATCATGGAAATTTTGGGTATGATTTTGATCTACTACTGCATTACTAAATGTGAATGATTTGCTCTAGGTACTCTGTGTATATGTGTGCCTATTCAATTCATTTTAGTTCAATATTCAATTGTTACTCTTATATGCTATAAGTTGTTTGATGAAAATTCTTTAAGTGGCTGATCTCATTCCTTGCGCACACAAGCAGACTGACGCTGCATCACACGGACACATTATTTTAGAGGGCCAAAGATCTTAGATATGAACTAGAAGTTGAATATTACATGTTTTGCCCATTGCAAATATAAGTTTCCACGTGTTTGTCTTAAGATTTTGTTAACTCCAACGTGATGCAGCCCATAACTTGGTAGTTCAAAGCCAGACCCATTTGTATTCTAGCTAACTGCCACTAGCCTATATTGTCTTTTGGTGGAGGCTGGAGTAATGACCTCCAAATTAGTTCACATTGTGCAAATATTAGTTTTTATATCAAAGTTTAATCTTACCTTGATATGTGATATGACAGGAGGTTGTTTCTGAAGTTCATAAAGAGTTGTTGGCCTGTTCTGCTCTATCAATAGGTCTGCTATTCTGGCAGGTTGCTGGTGTGAGCTGTACTGAGTAAAGGGCAGGAGCTGATGGGATTCCTGTTTACCAACTGATTCAGCACTTGAGCAGTTGGTTTGATTAGAGGGCAGGTTTCCTGTGCTGGTCTGAAGCTACAGTGGATCAGACAAAGCAAGTGCTGAGCTGTAGAGGCAAGAACAGTTGCTGTACAGGATTAATAACATAAATTTTTTTTTTTTTACAGTTGAATGTTTTGGTTGTTAGACTGTTTTGGTACAGTTTCAGTTTTTTGCTTCTTGTAATTTTTAGTTTTCATGGAATATAATTTTCTCTTTTCCAAAAAAAAAAAAAATTATATGTGATATGACAGGTATAGAAAAAATGAGAGTACGTTCTGTTGTATATATGTACAAAACACAGGCTTGGCAATAGTGGGGAAACTAGGTTGTGGGATTATTTTTCTGTCCATATTCTATTTTGAAAATAAATGGATGATGATTTTGTTGGACCGAGTTAGACATTAATTTTATTGATTATATTTTTCATTAAAATATTTCATAACTTATTGCTGCCTGTATCTGATTTTGTTGCATAAGCGCCAACATTCCTGTTCTTCTTTGTAAGATTTTTTTTTTTTTTTTTGACTTTGTTATTCTGGATAACATTCTATTACATGATGGGGATAAAAAAATGCTCACAACTATGGATATTTAAGCCCTTATGTCATGACCCTTTGTTTCCAGTCTTTTGAATCAGTAATAAGGAATCAGCGAGATATGAGCTCTGTATTAAGTTTATAGCAAATGCTCTGCAGGTGTAAGGCTTTACATATATTGATGTATTTGTTAATCCCAACAGTGATGGTTTAGGTTGATTTTCATATCACTGAACATCTTTTGTGTTCTACTAATTACAGGTATAAGAAAATTGTGTGCTTATAAAATTTTGCAAAATGAGTATAAGCCTGTGACGGTTTATGCATTTGTACAATTCTATGTCTTTTGATTAAGCATCTAAGTCTTATTCTATTGTTATTTTGCTATATATGAGATTGTATAAATTAAGTTTAGTTTAAAATTGAAGCAAATATAACTTTAAGTTATGTTGCTTGGTCTTGGAAAAAATTGAACAGGTTAATACGGATTTATCTCGCCTTATGTTATACTTTTTAATATCTCATGTTTTTGCTCATATATAGTTGTGTGAATGTCTCATTATTCTTATTGCATATCACATAGTTTAAGTAGTGAAGTTTTTTCAATCAAATTAACTTAACATTGGCAGAGAAGTTTGTGGATTTGATTTTTTCTAAATGTAGGACTCAAGGTTGCCAACTTCTAACTTTCCCATCACCATTAGAGTCGAGAAATCTTCAATCTGGATTCAGTCAAGTGTTCTTCAAGACTCCGTCATAAGAACAAAAAAAAAAAGGCCAACAAAGAGGAGTTACTGTTAGTTGTATTTTTAATTTAGAAAGGAGGCTTGGATTTCAAGGTGTGTTCATTTTCTTTCATAAACAAATTGTTGGAAAAAGGCGAAGGGATAATATGCAATGGCGCAGACAAGGTGCCAAATAATTGATTGTTGGAAATGAAAGAAATGTTTTATTTGGTTATTCCTTGCTCAACTTGGTTTTTAATTTTCTATGTTGTCAATAAGCTCAATTTTAATATTCCATGCTTTTTTGGTTTTAATCAAATAGTTTGTACTAGAGTAGAGTGCCAAACTTAATCCACTGTCTTTAAGTTTGAGAGAATTGGTGCTCAATTTTTTTTGTCATACAGTGCCTTTAAGCACGTTATTAAAATATTGAGAACTAAAATTAGACAAAATGAATATTTTAAGAGATCATTAGTGCAATTAATCCTAACAACTGTTGCTATGTCACTGTGACTGCACTGTGTCTGTTATTGTGCAAGGCTATTACTATTACTCTATTGTTGTAAGTATAATATAAAACACGACAGACTTCAACAAATTCATCCGACGATCTCAAATTAACTCATTCAACGACCATCAACTTTCATCTTAAAACTATTCACATTTCATCGTGCTTTCAGGCACGGGTTATCCCTACACTTCTCTCTCTCTCAAAAATGAATTCATCCAACCACCTGTGAACCAGGCAATAAAGACTTCTCTCTATTGTTGATATTATTATGTTGTTGAAGTAGTTGATAAATGTTTTGTTACGCTAGAATTGGGATGTGATATTAAATTTGATAAATGAATTGGGTCATGTTTTCTTTAAATTCATGTGTTTCTTAATAATAGGAAGATATGTACAAGAGGTTGATCTATTTTGTCTATTTTTTAAAAAAAAGTAGTTGTCGTGATTAGATATATTTACTCGGTTTTTTAGGGCGCTCAATTTGTATACTGCATCGTGCCTTTAGGCACGGGTTATTACTAGTAATTTTATAAGTTGGTGCAAGGAAGGACAAAAAAATTTAAGAAACTGAGTTTCTCGTGTGTTGAGCTTTTTTCTATTTCTTCTTTTTTTTTTTGTGGTTGGGCAGTGGGCAACTGAAAGTAAGTGGTACAGAGAGAAAAAATAAAAATAAAATAAGATAAGTTTTAGTCAAATGGGCCAAAAGTTTTGTTTTTTAATGATGGTGGGGTAAAAGTTTTGTTTTTAATGTTGAGCCAAAAATTTTGTTTTTAATATTGGGTTAAAAGTTTTATTTTTTTAATAGGTTTGGGTGAATTGTGATAGGTCCATGGGCGGAGGGAGGTAGGGGTTAAGGTGGGCACGTGCCCCCCCTCAAATTTTTTTTTTATTAGTTAGATATATGTATTATATATTCATACATATATATTATGCGTGCTCCCCTCATTTATATTAGGCCCACATTATTTACCCAAAATAATTAAACAATTAAGTCCATTTATTGTACTCACTATTATCTATCCAAATTTATTAAAAAATTAAATATTTGACCTATCACAATCCACCCAAACTTATTAAAAAGACAAAACTTTTAGCTCAATATTAAAAACAAAATTTTTGGCCCAACATTAAAAACAAAACTTTTACCCCACCATCATTAAAAAACAAAACTTTTGTCCCACTTGACTAAAACATATCTTATCTTTTTTTTTCTCTCTGTATCACTCACTTTTAGCTGTCCACTACACAGCCACAAATAAATAAATAAATAAATAAATAAAAGCTCAACACACGAGAAGCTTAATTCCTTGAGTTTTTTTTGTCCTTCCTTGCACCAACTTATAAAATTATTTTATACATTATGTTTATCCCCTAAATTTTTGGAAATTTTAATAATGGTTCTAGTCTTTTTTTTTTTAATAAATTAGTGGACCATTAACCCTCTAAAATAAATATGTTAGTTTTGGATTGAGTCAATGTTTCATTTGTATATTGACAAAAATACAATATTTCTCTTTATCTAACACAATGTTCGTTACTTTTTAAGAATAATTTTTAGTTTTCATTTACTATTTTTTTAGTAATAGTAGTCTATAACCTAATAAAATACGAAAATTAATTTACATTTAATTCATATACAAAAACTTTTAGAGATTTTAAAAAATTTTATATTTTATTGAAATATATTATTAGGTCAAAATGTACTAAAAATATTATTTTGTGTCTCTTTGTTAAGATTTTGTTTCGGCTAAATAAAAATTGAATTTACTATTTTGCAATAATTTAGTGTTAATTCTTACATTTTTTTTATTCTTGAACTGAATTTTTTTGTATTAATTTCGACTTAATATTTTTTTATACCTGTTATATTTTGCCTCTATCATAGATATTCATGGCTCCACTCCTGGCAATATATATATTTTTTTTTTGAAATTTTTTATGTTAAATGGACTTCATATATCAAAAATAATATAATAAATATAAATATGTTATATAATGTGATTGGTTAGAAGGAAAAAAATTAGAGTGCATAATTAAAGTGTCCACCCTGAGCAAAATTTCTGGCTCTGCCCCTAGATAGGTCAAATATTTGATTTTTAAATAAGTTTGGATAGATAATAGTTAGCACAATTTTTTTTTTAAATGGACTTAATTGTTTAATTATTTTGGGTAAATAATGTGGGCCTAATATAAATGAAGGGGACACACATAACATATATGTATAAAAATATAATACATATATCTAACTAATAAAAAAAAAATTGAGGGGGGCACGTGCTCACCCTGGCCCCTACCTCCCTCCGCCCATACATTCACCCAAGGTACAAGCACATACACACACACACAACAACCACGCACACACAACAACACTTAGACACACACAAAACACAGTAGATGCACATTTCGTGTTAATTTGGGTGTTTCGTAGGAAATTGAATGTTAGGTTTTCTAATTAGGTGTTAAGTTTTGTAATAAAATAAATGTTAAGTTTTTCAAATTGGGGTTTTTCATTCAATAGAGTTTGTGACATTTGCAAATTTAGGTTTTTTCAAGAATTAAGGGTTGTGACAAATTGAATGTTGTATGCTAACTATTTGTTAAAATGCTTCACTCATAGATATACTAATGTCAAAACTTAGATTAATGGGTTGGAAAGTTTAACAACCTTGAAAACTACTACTGGGATTTATTTGAGATTGGTAATTGTTATGTGCTATTATTTGGGTGCAATGATTTTTTATATTCCAAGATATTGTTGTAGTTTAAGTCTTTTAAGTAGTGTAGATTTTTCGATTAAATTGACTTTTAAGGTTTTTTTAATTGGTGAGTTTTTTTTTATTTACACAGTAATTAGTTTTATTTCGAATTGATTGTGTCACCTTCATACATTTGTCACTTAGATTTCATGTTTGAGCAAGTTCAAGAACTTCGAGATAGGTGATCTAGGTTTCAACGTCTCTGCTTGAGGTGGCTTATGTGTTTCTACGCTTAAATTTTGGTGGGTGGTGTCTGAATTTGCTTGCTTTTGTAACACCCCACCCTCCACATGACATAATATTGTCCACTTTGGACCCACTGGCTCTCACGGCTTTGTTTCTCTCAGTCCCCCTGGGAAAAAGGCCTTATACGAGAGTGGCGACACCCGCCCACCTCCATCAAAGTAGCGCAGCGCAGTGGCCCACCCACCGTATAATATTGTCCTCTTTGGCAAGAGTACTCCTCCCCCTCAATGCTTTGTTTCCATTACGAGCACCCCTCGTT